GCTGGGCCACTCCATCCCTTAGGCGGGGTTTGGTGCCAGTGAACCAATGACAGATCACTGATCACGATCCGGATCCGCGTGAAACAAACTGCCCCATACTGTGTTAGTGGTGCTCTGGAGGAAGATTCTATCAGTTGTCTCTACATCCATGACTACCAGACCAGGCAGAGTCCCTACAGCCCTTTAGGGTACATAAAACCATACAGTTGTTGTCATTTACTCCCTTGGGATCGGAACTAGAATTGCATGATGATCCAAAGAAAAATCTATAGCTCTATGTGTAAATGCAAACATGGGAAGTATTAAAGAAAGGGAAAAGAGAGGAGTCAGTTGATCCTGGATAAAATTGCATGCCTGTGTATGTACGTGTGATTCAAATATGGCAATGATAGGGTATCGGTAAGACTCACCTGATTGTAAAGACATCCATCATGGTCCTTCAGTGAGTCAATCCACTGCAGCACAGCCTGCCCGCAGCCTTGCTGCTTCCACCAGAAACCGAGCACCACTTTGGGCAGGCAGGGAAGCAAGGCCTGCAACTCCTGGCAGAAGTTGACGTGCTGCTGGCTGATGCCAGTCACGGGCACTCGCTTGGCGCTGGGACCTGCCTTGCGCCGGCTCGCCCTCTTGTGGCCCGACTGGAGCTTGTCCTCGAAGCTGTGCGACGAGTGAGGATTGGTGAGGCGAGATGATGTCTCATTAATGGACTCCAGGATGGCATCCTGACGGTGGAGCTTACGCATGGAGATCATCGGCATGCCTTGTTCTGGCTGCCCACTGATGCCAGGCTTGGGGGAAGTTACTGACATCGGGGACAAACAGGAATCTTCCAAACTTCTTGTCTTTCTTGGCAGGCTGGCACTCGAAGACGAGTTGCCTGGTGAACACTGGGCACAGCAGGGATTGTCCACCGAATCCTGACCGTAGGATGAGCTGGAGTCCAGGGAGTTGCTCTTGTTGGCTGCAACCTGGACATGGCATGAGCTGGGCCGTCCCCGTCCCAGGTCCATCAGTCGAGGACTATCCGGAGCATGGATGGTTCTCCTCTGGAGGCTGGCGGGTAGCGTGGTTGTGCTCCCAGGAACTATTGTGATATTGTGGGGCCTTGGGGCCCGCTTGCGGATGTAAAACTGTGAGAGGGAACTGGCAGATCGTGTCACTGTAACTTGAGATTTACCATTAACCTTATCGCCATTGGTTTCTTCAGTGTTTGTCACAGTGTTTTCCCGATTGAATTCTGTTCTACTCTGTTGATTGCATTCTTCCTTCGGGGTACTGTTCTGCAGCTTGGCTGTTGTGTGAATGATGGTGTCTTTTCTGGGAGGTACATCTGGACTTTCGATCTCTTGAAGGGTCTCAGGAACCCTCGGTTTGGCCCGTTTGGTCCTATCCAGCACGACGCCAGGTCTATTGTGGCCATTCTGCGCAACGTGATTCTCCACCCAAGTCTCGACATTCTGCCCAGTTTGCTGCTGGCTGTTACTGTTGCTAGCCTTACCCATTTTATCAGCATTCTCAGGATATGTCTCAAACGTACCATGGACGTCCAACTGATGCGTCATCCTCTGTCGCTTCTGCAACAGTCCATTGGCTTTGGGCTTGACTCCGGAGGGCACGCTGTCAGCCCGCTTGTTCATTTTGTCACTGCTGCTGCTGCGCATGGAACTCTGATGTGACGATATCCCACTGTCCAGACTGCACATGCTGTCTCGTTTGAAGCCCTGGGAGTCATCGGCCACTTGAATCAAATTGTTCTCCCTTGATTTACTCTCCTGTTCTGGGGCAGGTGGGACTTCTTTTGTGGAATGTGGTTTTTCTTGCTCATCCTCGGATGCCATCATGTCAAAGTAAGGGTTGACAATGCAGCAGCTGCCATCCTCTGTCATGTTGGCCAGGCTTTTCTTAGCTTCCTCCTTGGAGGCTGGTCCATTGCTCAGATCCTTCTTGGAGCCAGTGCCCGAGGATTCAGATGAACTGTGGAACTTCTTGGCCTTCTGGGGCTGGCTCCCCAGAGTGCAGTCACTTGAGGACTCCCCAACTGGATGCGACTTGACCTGCTTGGTCCGTCTAGGAAAGGTCCCGACCTCCTCCCATGGTGCACTGTCGGAGGTAGGGAACCGGAACTCTTTGGGAGAGGGGCACCGATAGCCATCTCTCCGGGTGCAGTCAGCGACGGCATTCTCCCAGCAGCGCAAGGCACTGGCCAGGCCATCGTCGCTGCCGCATGAGTCCACGGAACTGCTGGCATTCCTGTTCAAGGTGACATGGCACATGTCATCGGTCCAGGCCTTGGTGTCCGAGGGAGCCAGGGTCCAGCCACGGGTTACACCACGCTTGGGCCTGCGGTCCAGAGTCCAGGATTTGGTCTGGCTGGTCGGCTGCCCATCTTCTGGTACTCGTATCATCTTCAGCCAGGCCATCATCTCCAACAGCAGCAGTGCAAAGGAACGGACATCTCCTGAGCAGAGTAACTTCTCTGATACCTGTGGCTGTGCTGTGGCTGTTTGCTGGGGTCCCTCCTTGCAAAAAAAAGAGAAAAAAAATCAAGAAAAAAATCAATGGGCATAATCTAATAATATTTGCTGTGATCTAAGCAAAAGTTGCCCAGTAGTTAATTTCCAGGGTTTTATTAGTGGTTGGCAGAAAATTTTTGCTATAAAAATGCGTTAGCCTCGAGTATATTTCACAGCATAGACATGCATATACTTGAACGTGCACATGAATTTCAATGGTCTCATTAGAGTTGAAGTGAATATTGACCCTGAAATGTACATGCCCTCAATCTGCAAGGCTCACTGCCAACAGTCTCTTTAAAACAGATGCAGTTCCTGCCAGGACACTGCGTGCCCAGTAAAGCAACAAACTTGTACTTAAGTAAATTGATAAAGCCCTGTAAAACTTAAACCAAATTTTGGACTCGATGCATTCATTACTACACTTTGCAATATGATGCAATAGGCGACAGCCAACCCAGGGTATGTTCTCCATTTTAGGCCTCAGATGACTTGGGCAACATCACAGAGGACGTCAAATGCATTATGTATGTAAATCACCATTCTGCACAATCACTGCACAGGCACAAGAAGGAGTGCCACCTAGTGTCCACCCTGAGTAGCTCATAAGCCTTTGAACAAACCAAACGGCGAATGATACGCTTAAATGAGAAAGCCTGGGGCGCAGGGAAAATCCAAGCTATTTGAGGCAGATAAATCCTGGTGTTGAAACTCCCCGAGGCCGGGATAACTTACAAAGAACCTGCTAATACTGGAAGGTCAGAGGGGGATATACCAAGCTGTTCCTCACTAACACTGTGCCAATTATTCAAATATTTGCATATTCAACTGACTATTGAATATATGAATACTAATTTCCAGAATTTTAAGATTCAGAGGTAAAAATGAATGACATAAAGAAGGAAAAAACTCAATCATTCGGTCACAAAAATGCATTCTAAAAAGGTATTTCAACATGTTTTAGTGGTAAGTAAACTCAAGGGCACCTGATGCATATGTCCAAAAATAAGGACAACAATTTATTTTTTCCTCAATTTTTCTTTCTTCTTTTTACTGGTGTAAGAATATGCTGTTACTAAGGGAATGGATCAGGACTAGCTATCAGTTGGACTCAGCCTCTCCTGAGCTTTTTGTTTGCTTTTGTGGGAATTTGATACAACCGAATATTTGAACACTCAATCCAATGGAAGGTCGAATGCTTGAATATTCAATGACTTGAATGACTCAGCCTTATTCCTTGCTCTGTTCAACAAACCTACCATCTCCTGACACACTGTGGACCCTGGCACATTGACTGCTCCTGGTACACTGCTTGTGGCATTGCTGGGAGGGCTGCTGGTGGTGACATCTTTCTGTGAGCTCTTGTCGATGTCTGAGGGCAGCTTACGGGTCAGGTCTATGGCCCTGGAAAAGTTGGCGATGACAACTTTAATGGCCATGGTCTGTAATTACAATGGAGAAAATGTTGTTTGAATCTTCTGTCTCGGCATTTAGGCACATGAGAATGCAAAAAATTGGTCAAGCCATGTTGGAAATTCTGACAAAAATCATGTTTCAGACAGGTACATGTACAATTGACAAATGCCCTTCATTCATAAAACAAAGATTGTAGAACAAATCCAGACAAACTTTCCATGTTGATCTCACACTAAACAGGCCCAACCCACTGAGCACATTGGTAATTAGTGCTGGTCAGTCTCCAATGCTACACTGCGTATTCCAGCCGCAGCCATGTACATCCAATCCTAAACTCCAATCAGGAAGATTACGAGCGCTTTCCACTCACACAAACCAGTTCAGATTTTCTTTTTTACCTAGTGCTATTCACTTTTATAATTCAAATTTTAGCGGATAATTATTGTATGCATCCGACACCTTTTCAATCAGATTAGAGTTTTTAAAGTAGTCCGGCATATCAGTATTCAGATCTGCTTCGTTTATAATTTATAATTTTGTTGTTATTTTTTTCTAAGGTTTGGCCTTTTTTAACGAAGGTTTTATGTTGGTGGTTAATATATATTTCTTTTTTACTATCTTTGTTGTCTTCAGTAATCGTTTCTGTGTTTTAAATGTTTGCATCTTGTTTTTATGTGCACATTGGGAAGAAGAATTTCACTTTTAAAGTTTTTTTAATTGTGATGAAATAAAATATTGAATTGAATGTATTCCTGCACTCATAATGCCTGACCTACAGTAACTAATGGCTGTTATTGGTCAGAACACCGTAGGGCAAGACTTAATGGATTAGTCTACTGAACCTAGGCTAATACTTCTGGGGATGTTTGTTTATTTGTAGCAACAGCAGCATGCATACCAGTACAAATACTGTACATTATGGTGTCACACAAAGTACAGTGTAACGAATGAAATGAATTAAAAACCAACAAAATAACAAAAATTGAATGGTCAGGAGCATCTAGGTATCACCTCTCCGGAGAGGAGCAAAGACGCTGCAGATATGTTTTTTAATTAAGAAACTATCAACAAGCCTTGTAACTTTTCATGATTGTCGTCTTTTTTATTTTCCAATTCCACAAAAATCCTGCCTTGATTTAAATAAAAAGAAGAGACCAAAGGCCACGTTCCTGCAAAAACTCCTTAACATAGCCGGAAATGCAAGGGATATTAAAAGATACCGTTCCCTTTGATAACCGGAGCCAGCCAGACTGCATCACCCTGAGCCCAATGGCTCTTTATAATGTCAAACAAGCACACTCACACACACTCTCTCTCTCTCTCTCTGGCCAGCTCACAACCCAGACACATTATCAAATCTGAAGATGAAAAAAAAAAGCCCCTGAATGGGTTGGCCACACGAGAGCAAATGAAGTATCCGTAATTCAGAAGACATGCAGTCTTCTCCGAATCAACTTGAGTCTTTCATGAATTCATTGACAAAGATAGCTTTTGTGAGAATATGCCACGCCGGCCCGGGAATAAATCCCTATCTTAGTGCATGCTGACGTGAAGGGAATTAGCATTCTGAGAGGCCTGATTCTTTCCATATTATGTACGTTTATTGTACATCAATTCTCTTTATAAAAATTCATATGTATCAAAAACTAGCCTAGAGTGAAAATTTACCACACTAGTACTCACAAGAACGTATTTAAAATTTGTAACCTTACCAAACAAGTCAAATACACAAATTAACCTGAGCAGAAATTCTATATTTTTATTAAACTCATATGCAGTACCACAAGGAAAAACAATTTTCAACAAATTTTGTGACATCTCCATAGTGTTTTCCACAAATTTCTCATCACAACAAATTGTTTACAACCAATGCTAGGAAATGGCCAGTGTGTTTGTCTCCAATAATCCCATGCCATAGTGTAGAGGGCTCAAGTCAATTACTCTACAAGTGACCTGGTCCATTCAGACGTCAGCTGGAGTCAGTTGGCTTTCCTCCGGGGCTTTCTCCATATTTAGGAGGAAATACAGGAACTGAAAGGCAGAGCAGCTAAGGCTTGCGGCATCGCAATCTCTCCTCCTTTGATTGCCTCGGTTGCGAAGCGTGTTTTGACCGTTAGAATCTAATTGCCGGGCTCTATCGGAATGCCTTAATTCCTGTATAACTTAATTGGCATCGAATCAGGCCGAGCTGGACTTGGTTTAGGTGAGGTTACCTACAGTCCCTGTGAGCAGAATTTTGTGATGTCAATTCGCTGTGTGCAAGGTCAGCTGGAAATTGCTATCAGACCCGACTATCATTTGCAAATCACATACATGAGATCCCACCCTAAGTATTCAAGGAAGGCAGTGTCTCTTAGTTACAATGGGAAAGGGGATGGGAGAATTTATTATAAAACGAGAGCCATGTCTTTACATATAATGCTAAATGTATCTGTATAAAGAGAGAAATGAGAGGAGTGTGTATGACAATTATTACATTGTTTAAAGGGGATGGACCGTGCTGGGAAGATTTCTTGTAATGCATGCATCAACACATAAAACAGACACACATATAACAAGAAAACGCATCTGCATAATTTCAAAATGCGTGGAAATATGTTAAAAATTATAGTTTTCACGACCCTATTTTGCTCCCTTCTGGGAGCAAAAACTCAACAAAAGCCGTCGGGTACCAAAAGTTGCCTGAGGAAATTCCCAAGAATCGTGATGTCATAGGATGGAGTCCTTTATCGGGTGACTGTTTACTGTTATGCAACGACACGTTGACATGTACGTAATGTAGTAGCGTTGGCGTTAGCGTGTGCCATCATGTCAGACTCAAGCGACAATAATTCCAGCGTTGATGCTTTTTCCCAACATGACATCGATCATTTGTCATGTTTGTCTTATTCATTTGACAAAGAAAGCAACATTGAAGGAACTGATGAGGCACAAGAAATATTGTCTGTCAGTTGGAACCAGAATACACTCAGGAAGAGATTTTGCAACTCGAGGCTGTTGGCCACGGGCATGGCGGCGACCCAGAGGGATTGACAACAAAACACTGACTAGTGATAATTTTTTCCTGTACCATTATAAAAATTTGTCTTTCTGAAAAAACGTAATTGTCGTACCATCGGCTATTTGATAGCTGTATTCGCTGATGTTTGTAAATCCCATTTTAAAGTGAAACATGCACGTAATATCACCAATTCAAGATAGAAATTATTACACGTGTACAGCGTGATGCGAAACAAATGAACACAATGCGTCAAGTTAGTTGTCAAATAGCTCTGCCCCCTGTTAATAGAAGGGCATTGGAAACAAGACCAAACGTGGTTGACTTGACACGTACAAGCTACATACCCGACTATGTGCCAGAGCTGAGGGTATTATTATTCTTGCAAGAACCGATCAACTTTCTTGCCGGAACTATGCATTCTGGTCTGGAAAGTCCAGTCCGTCCTATGACGTCACATTTTGGCCAAGATTTATCTGCTGCCCTCATTGACACATTTCGATAAATTTTTGTGAAGAGCCAGGTGGAGAATAAAAAAAAACCACACAGAAAACACCTATTTTTGTGGATTTAATGACATAAAAGAAAGGTTGATCCTACTTATTGTACATTACACGGTTGAAAACTATCATATAACGTCAATTTAACCCTACATGGCACATCCCCTTTAATCCTGAACCATGAAACATTCTGCTCATGGCTCATGTCATTCATCAGTGCTAAATGAATACTTGAGTAGTCTGGCATCAGGAAAATGTCATTGAGTAAAGGCGAGTACAGCACTGAAGTCCAGGTGCCATACAAAACAGATACCGTATAAATCACAATGTCCAAATTAAAAGTCCATGTTACTTTAGAGTGTGCTTCTTAACTGCAGTTTGCGGATGAATTTCCATCCTTTTCTTCCCCTCTTTCACCAGAAATGAAATATCACCCTCGTTAAACTAATAAATTTGAAGGGAGAAATGCCAAATAAAGTAGAGTGACCAGTATGAAGTTAATTCCTACAACTGCAATTATGCACAGCAATGAGAACAAATACGCATACCTCACCGCCAGAAATCTGCTACTTCAGGCCCACACTGGGACTTTTTCAAAGGAACAGATCTTACAACAGTTTTATAAAATTCAAAACACTTTTGAACAAATTGATTCAGCCTGTATTTAGGACCCTTGAAGGTGTGGCTGCAAGAGGCTGGGAATTTTAACACTGACATGCCTGTAAAATTGTTCAATGTCGTCTCTTTTTACGGCAAATCCGGTGATTGAGAAAATCTTCAAAAAGTGGCTCTTTATTTCCGTTATTATTAGCAGAGCACTGATGTCAACATGAGAAGACCTGCAACTCATGAAAAATTTAGTGTGCAAACAACTTGATGTTTGGTCCTACAGATTTCTGGAAGTAACATACATCTTTAGATCAACAATATCACAAGACAGCTTTTTTGTTCAAAATAGCAGTGTATCATCAGTAAATATGTGTTTGCACAACACTTTCAGTAACATTCAATTTCCATACATGTTTACAGTGCCCGGAACACAATTTCTAAATTGAACCAAATATTTTGATGAATTTAAAGTCTTGATGTATAAAAACAAGGTCTAATACAATAATCCTTCTTGGAAATACAAGCCACTTCCAACTCCCACAAGCCAACCTACGGTTGAGGATTACACCTGCCTACAGCCAGAAGCCGTCAGTCAAACTTATCATTTTCCACAAAAATCATCCCACAGCGGAAACTCTGACAATGGCACACCCACGTACGGCAAGGTTCTGGGGCATTTAATAAGCCAAGCCGATACAGTGATGCAGTTTGTAGTACTGATAAGATATTGTACTGCCGTAAATGCAGCTTATTAATTAATGGCAAAGTATGTCCTCTGTCCCACTTCTCAATTTCATTTTGACATTTTGAAATGAAATGGTTCCTTTCTTAAATTGTTATTCTGTTTAATGCAATACCTGCATAAATCCCAATCATATGATTAGTGGGTTATTGGTCATGTCACGATCTATTTCACAGT